TGGTTTAAATGATTGAATGCCATCTTACAGTGATGTAGAGCTTCCTGGCTGCTGGAAGGAAGACAGGTGTGTGTGGCTGTGCTCATGCGTCACACTAAGACAGGATTTGTTTGCTTTAGTTATAGTAATTTATTCATAGTTTCTTGTTTAGTTTTAAATGTTAATACAGGGCTCTGTAATTCATAGAGGTTCCAGATTTTTCCCAATGATACACTCTCAGCATCTAACTGCGGTTGCCAGAAATTGAAGTTTGAACTTTGTGTATGGTTTTTCTTAGGTATTAGTGGCAATTCTTATAGATACAGTGGGGCAAAAAAGTATTTAGTCAGCCACCAATTGTGCAAGTTCTCCCACTAAAAAAGATGAGAGAGGCCTGTTGACCCCACAGGGTGAGATCTTGCATGGAGCCCCAGATCAAGGGAGAAATGGATTACCTAAGGTTACAGTGGGGCAAAAAAGTATTTAGTCAGCCACCAATTGTGCAAGTTCTCCCACTAAAAAAGATGAGAGAGGCCTGTTGACCCCACAGGGTGAGATCTTGCATGGAGCCCCAGATCAAGGGAGAAATGGATTACCTAAGGTTACAGTGGGGCAAAAAAGTATTTAGTCAGCCACCAATTGTGCAAGTTCTCCCACTAAAAAAGATGAGAGAGGCCTGTTGACCCCACAGGGTGAGATCTTGCATGGAGCCCCAGATCAAGGGAGAAATGGATTACCTAAGGTTACAGTGGGGCAAAAAAGTATTTAGTCAGCCACCAATTGTGCAAGTTCTCCCACTAAAAAAGATGAGAGAGGCCTGTTGACCCCACAGGGTGAGATCTTGCATGGAGCCCCAGATCAAGGGAGATACAGGCCTCTCTCATCTTTTTTAGTGGGAGAACTTGCACAATTGGTGGCTGACTAAATACTTTTTTGCCCCACTGTAACCTTAGGTAATCCATTGTTATTCTTCCTTTGTAACCATAGAAATAAATATGCCAATAGTATCTTATTTAAAAACTACAAATATTCTATTTGCATACATGCTCTGCCCCACCCCTCTTCCTTTATAGCAGTATTTTGTTTCCCACTTTCACAAAGGGAATGTAATGGTGCATGTTTCTAGAGCTTGAAAGAACATGAAAGTTCAAAAATGGGTTGTATGCAGATGTAAAAATACATATAGGCTTTATAAGAAGCTTTATAAGAAGCCACCATACCCTTAAATCCTGTGTTTTAGGAAATGGGAGATTGTTTTTTGGAGTAATTTTGAGAATAAATCCCTTTGGATTTGACTGTTTCAGAACAGAGGGTTTAATGACTGGGCTGCATTGCCTTTCTTTACCCTTCATTTTGCAGGTGGAAAAGTCATTTAAAGGCATTTGTGTTGGATTTTCCCCCCATACCTCATCCCAAAGGTGTGGTTGTTTCTTTATTTCTTTTGTTTCATTTTTAATTAGGACACTGGGTGCAGCTAAAGGTACAAACAAAACCAAAATATGAAACAAAACTTTGAAGCCTTGTCAAATATGGGCATATTCAGAAATTTAAACAAAGACAAGTGAGAAGTTTGGTGCTTCCACATACATTCTTCTGATATGCAACTGTAGTACAAGGCAAGTTCAAGGTCAGAGTGCTACCTTTCTTCATTTTTTCCCCCTTTAATTCAGTCCAGTGAATTTGCTTTCCTAGCAAGTAACACAGTTGTTCTCAATAAAGGTTAATTTACAGTTTGGTCACTTGATTATTCAACGGGCTGTGTAATTTGGTCGTTGGAGACAGTTGGCAAAAGCAGCTGGGTTCCACTATAGTCCAAGATTGTCCTCTCAGCTGCCTCTCACAGTTTCACATGATGGTACTGACCGCCCCCCTTCTTGGGGAGGGGGAATGCTTGTTTGCAAAATTAGGCTTTCAAAAACAGGCAGGAGAGCAAATTGAAAACATGTGTTCAAAGAACCTCTCCCAGGACCAGTTTACCTTTAACAACTCAGATGGTTCAGATTTTATGTAACTAACAAAAACCACACTTCAAATGTAGGGAGAGATAATGGAAAAATAATGATATTGGATGCCCCCCAGGTTCATTTTGAGTCTCCAGGGTTGCATTTAGAGAGAGAAAGAGAGGAGGGGGTGTATGTATATCTTCAGTTGTGAGGTTCTGGATACAATCATCCCTCTGTCATGGAATTAGTGATGTTTGTCTGTGTGCTTTCTGCATGTTTGTAAAACTGAACTCTGTCATAATAGGTTGTTTTATTCAGTCAAGCTCCAGCTGTCTATTTCACTCTAAAATCATGTTGTGGATTTTTTTTTTTCTTTTGAGCAAATGGTGATTAGGTTAGAGGCAATACTTGTTCTTGCAACATATTGGGCCACATCTAATAAGGGAGAAGTCTTCTTCAATGAACAAACATAACAAGATTGTGCACATTTTTTCTGTTTGAAGCTGCCTCAGAAGATGTGTGTTAAAACAGAAATGGCAAAGTCCTGTAATTTAAAAAAAAAGCTTTAAAAAACATGAAGTGGAATCCAGGGAGCTTACACTGCTGCAGTAGATTTTTCTATACTATTTCATAAAGTCTTGACATTTCCTTGGTTTCAAAGGCCATTTTCATTGTGGTTGTGATTCATAGACCTTCAGATCTGCTCCCACCTTTTAATAGAGTTAACGAAAGCAATTTGCTGACCTCCCCTTTTCTTCTGAAAACCTGGAACTTGACAGTGACATGCATTATACCTAAGGACAGCATATTAGCTCAGAAGGACTAGGAGACAAGCTTGGCTTACACAGCTCTGTTCTCCAATTTGTGATTTCCCTTCTGCCACCTCTGGTGACTTTCTCACCCTGCCTAATGGTGAAAAGGGTCCTTCCTTTTAAATAACCACTTCTCTGTAGTTGATAATGTAAGCAGCAGGATTGGATTGAAGTATATCTACCCAGTGCTAGAAACTAGATGGGGAAGTAAAAAACTGTAGCCCAGAAGAAGGGAATGGCAAATCATTTCCTTTTTACTTCCTCTTTGTCCTCAACATATAATATGTTGAGACATTAGGATGAAGGTCTGTTTTTTGTTTGTTTCATTTCTGAAGATATGCTTTAAACTGTCTTTAGAACATTGTCCTAATGAAATGGCTTGTTGATTTTTTTCCCCCTTACTTGATGACCTGCTACAAATTTTCCAACTAATTACAGGTGAAAATTCTAGCTCAGAATGAGAATGTTAAGCTGCAAGAGGCCCTGACCAGTAATTTGAAGAGTGCTGTCATGGCAGCCTTTCTCATGTTGCCTGAAAGCTTCTCTGAAGAAGATCTTTATATGAAGATTGCTGGACTGTCATACTGTGGTTAGTATGGCCTTCAGATTGTTTAATTGCTTTGTTAAATAGGATAGTTGTGATTAATAGATAGGTAGGATTAATGAAAGATGTGCACCAATTTCACTTACAGCTTGCTAGCATAATGAAGGGCTCACCATATTTGTCAAATGATTAAGGAGAAGTGCTCTGGATCTTGCATGAGCACAGCATAAATTATTTTCAGTTCTATTCACTCAGGTGGAGACTCCTTTGGCCCTTTTCTTTGCATTTTTTCTGCCTCTTTTAAGTAGTCCTTGCTCTCTTTGACTACATTCTTTGCAACTATCTTTTTTTTCTTTCTATGCATTAATATAGTACTGTGTCCTTCTCTCATCCTCATTTTTTTTTGCAGCATTCTCTAATGCATTTTTTTTTCTTCCTTCATAGCCACCTTCACTTCACCATCCTTTTCCATTTTTCCCATTAACGTAACTCTCCATACTTCCGTAATGTTCTGTAACATAATTATTTTTACTCTATTCCAAGCAGTTTCTACATTTTCTTTCCTGTTGTCCAATTTCCATTCATTCCATTCTGAAAGTGCATCCTTTTCCTTCTTGCAAGCCTTCTATTTTCACAAGAACCAATGAGTAGAAGCTGAACTGAGAGAGATCATAAGGAAATAAGGAGGAATTTCCTGACTTGAGAGAGCTATTAAGCAGTGGAATGGCCTGCCTCCTAGAGTTGTAGGTGTTCCATCAGTAGAGGTTCTTAAGAAAAGTTTACAACAGCCATTGTCCAGGAAGGTATGGGGATTCCTGCACTGGTAAGGGGGTTGGATAGATAACCTCCAGGACTCTCCAAGGTTCTTGATTCTTTCACTTTCCTCTTCTTTCTTGTCTATTTTTTCCCAAGATCCACTACCAAGTAAGAGTGTGTCTCACATTCAAAATGCCCTTGTATCCTTCACTACTTCTGTCAGTTTTTTTTTTTCATAAACAATCAAGTTGTTTGTACAGTGGTACCTCTAGTTACGAACTTAATCCGTTCCGTGACTCTGGTTGCAACTCG